CACTTAATCAATCACAAGTGAAACTACAAAAGGTGTCCCTAGGAGTGATATATAAAGAGAGCAATCTATTCTAAATGAACAACTCTCAGTGAATAAGATTAAGTGAACAAGCGTAAGTGATCTAATTAACTAAATCTGATTCAATCTATCTTAGATCCTTAATCTACTAATTTATTATCTTAGCAACTCCTTCCTTAACTCGCGCTGTGTTATGAAATACTCAATGAAATATTCTAATATTCTCACCTACGAATCACCGCAACAGCTCTCCTGCTCCTTCTATCTTACATCTACAAAACCTATATATAGACTTTATATAGTCAAACTAATTTAAATATCGGGGTTTCTTCTTGAGATGCCGTGAATTAACGCGAATTAACCCCAAAATTTCCCCAAGAGGATTAGTGTTTAAGGTCGCGGTATATATCCGTCACAAGCTTGAAAGTATAGGTGTGAGTTATACACCGAATTTAAAGGTATATTTTTTTTACAAATGCTACTCATTAAAAATAGCACCAATGACTTTACTGTGTACGTGCTCTCCCATATTTTTCAATAACATAATTAAAACTTTTTATTTCAGGCGCACATTCAAATGTTTAGCAATCAATAATCAAAGAACACTGGAGAAGTGGCAAAGCTGCAGCAGGCTTTACCCAGGGTGCACTACGAGAAGGTTACACCACAATAATTCTTATATAACATATAACAATTTTAAGATATTTTTCTTAGATCAATACATTTTTTTTTCCTTTTAAAGGTTAATTTTTTCAATCTTTTTCGTCTAAAATCCATTGCATATTTAGATCACTGCAAAACAAAGTTTTAGTTTTTTATTGTTTGCTTTTTTTATGCGCGACATTTAAATAAACCATTAAAAGATCAATGATTCCGATACAAGAGAAGAATTAAATTATTTTCATGGCTCACAAAACATAGCGTTCAGTAGTTTGCGACAAGAATGAAATTAATACTTTCTTTTTTCCCCCCATTTTCTTTTGAGGAAAATTGTCGAGCTGTCACCAAATGGCTACCTTTGTCATTTTGCTCTATTTATTATTTATTTTTGCATTGATTATTTATTTATACATTGTAGTCTTGTTCACAGGAAAAGAAATACGTGATCTATGTTTCAATCAAAGTCTCCCGATTTTGGTAAACTAAGAATAAAATGAGTTTATGGATATACGTAAGCTACTTCAGTGCTTGGCTTACAATATGTTTTTCTAAATAAGAGGCTCGCACTGTGGATTTTAAGAAAGGAATTGAATGATTTCTGGTAAGTTGAATAATATTTTAATTTATTTATATTGTTGAATTCTGCTTATACTTAACAATACGTGGAAATCACAGAATATTCAGGAAATAAGAGATTTGAGGGTTATTTACGTTGTGGACTTGATGCAACGCAAACTTATACAGCACATAACAATAAGGTTTATTTAATATTTAATTCTTAATAACAACTTGTTTCTTTGTTATTATTCTTGATTGTATATATTTTCAAGGATCATGTAAGATTTCGTAAAAGGTTTGAACACTGTTGATGACGAAATCAATTAAAATTTCCTATAATTTAATCATTTAGACTATTCATCAAATTTTTTCCATCTACAACATATTCCACAACTAACTTAAACTTTTGTAAACATTCATAGTGTTTCGATTAAAACTGGAGGAAATTTTTGGGGATTTATTTATAACAATTGCACAATTCCTTTATAAAAAAATTAAACAATTTGATTTGTTACAATCTGTAATAAATAGATAATTAAAAATGTTTTAATTTTTGGTGATTATTTATTTATGTTGTAGTTAGATGTTTAATAACATATCTAATATTAAAAAGCTTTTTAAAATATCTTCTTTTTGCAAGGTCGGATTAAAGGAAAACCTTTTCTAAAATCACCCAAGGATATTAGACACGATTGAGTTTTGTTTTTAATACTATTCATAATCAAAAGGCTCATATCACACAAATATGACGAGTAGAACAAAGGTATTTCCAGTGCTTTTTTTCTGATATTTGGAAATTCACCCTTGAGAGAAATAACCAAGAGATTGTAATATTAGTTGTGTGTGAATATTTTAATTGAACTTCTCTGTCATTTCTTATTATTGTCAGAGCTTTCCGCTTTTGAACGGCTTAAATTCGCTGAAGTAAAAGAAACTGAAACAGATTTCAGGTCCAATGCAAATTTATGAGTCATTAGAATGGATCATGGTTATATATAAAAAAGTATTAATCAGAACATATCTATACGGAAAAGATGTTCTATGGTAAGATTAGGAGAAACATAATTTTAAACAAGTAATATATAAAAAAAATAAGTCAAATCCTACTTGGGTCAATAAAGAAACATTTTATTTTAGTTACTTTTTATTAAATAGTTATAATCAATATAAATATATATATACATATGACAGAATTACAATATTAAGTGACTAAATAAAAATAGATTTCCTTGCCTTTCCATATATGGTGTTGGACTATTTTTTGTTTGCTTGTTACTATTTATTCATTAAATAAATTAAATTATTCTAATAAAATAGCATAGTAAAAAAGAAATCACATTCTCAAAAATTGGGTCATCCCAGGTTGGATTCGAACCCATGGCGAGCTATCCTTTGCGCTACAAGGACACAACGAACGATTTTTTTTCTATCTATGCTGTTGGACTATTATTTTTGTTTGTTACTATTCATTCATTTTTTTAACTTAATTAATGAATTAATATTTGAAAAAACTTTATTAACATCAAGTGTCATCCACTACAAGTATAAAAAAATGTATTTGAACTTGAATGGATGAATAGTAAGTATTTTATTAACGATTGAAAATTAAACAAGATATATACATATATATATATGGGGAGAGAGTAAACTAGTAGTAGGAAATGAAAAATAATTTCAAAATTTAACATTGCCTCAATGAGGCTAAATTTTAGAAAAAATGGAAAGACTTGAAAAAAGTTAGATGATATTAGATTCAAAATAAATAGATTTCATGCAAAAAAGGTAAAAAAAAAACGATGATAATTGATAAATGAGTACTGAATATGAGTATTACAATGTACCTGTAACATTTCGTAACCCCAGCTCTCTTCCCTCGCCGTCGAATCAGTCGATCCAAGCTGTTTTCGGTCTTCCATTTTATCCAGCTCTGTAATTTCCACAGTCGGCTTTTTAAAAATTCAATGCAAAGAAGCTGTTAAATGTGCCTAATGTTTTTGATGTGTAACATCTTTCCTCTCGATTGCTGGAGATTTGTGGGAGTGATTTCGTGAAAAGGGGCGGAAATACGTAACAGGAAGTTGGGGAAGCGCTCGCTATTCAGTGAAGTTCTGTTTTTTCTCCTTCATTCTGGAGGGGCTCCACCCCCATCCCCAACCCCCTGCGATCTTGCCCCTTGGGATCTTTGTTTTTATTTTCTCACTTTAGGATTAGAGAAGAAGCTAAGTCCTTTAGGCAGGACGTGGTTAAACAATGACGAACGTGTTTCGATACCCGACTTCGATTGCTGCGTACAATTTAAACGATCGGGCCATAGAGCAGCTGGTGTTGCGATATATCGCAAACAGAACACCTCACATGTTGTGGCTCCTCATATGGATATTATTTATCGTCAAACTAGGGGACTGGATATTGTTAGTCAAGATATTGGGGACATATGTACGGCAAAATGCGTATTTAAAAATGGACAAACAGTGATTTCGGTGGTCGTATACATTTTTCCGAATCAAACGGTTCAAAAAATTAAAGATTTCCTGCATTTTTTACTTTTACCATATACCGAAGGTGGTTCTGCTCTTATTTAAAAAAAAAAACTATCACTCGCTTCCCATGATTTTGAGCGGTGATTTTAAAGTTAACTTCAGTTTGCTAGAAGCCGAGCCACTCATAGCTTTTTTGAATGATGAACTCAAGCTCGAAATGAACACAAATCGAAATGTTTTGACAACAGTGGTACTGTTATTGACGCTATTTTTCAACGGTTTTTAAATACTTTGAAATCACAAATATATGAGTCATATTTTAGTTATCATTACCGCTCTTCCCCAAATTGAACAAGAATAATTATTTTTGATTAAAAATTGCATTACTCCTTGTGTTAATTAAATAAAATTTTCATTAAAGATATAATTATTCGATAGAAAATTATTTCCAATCGTACTCGATTCATTTTTTTTTTCAGGATTTAAGTTGCTATTGCGAATTTACCACGATAACATGTCAGATGTTACACATCGTATGCGACTACTGTAAGGCTCTTTTTTTTTTGTCTTGTAACTGTTTAGTAAATATCCTCTCATCGCAATAAATGATAAAAAGTACTAAAATGCCTGTTTTTCTTTAACAAAAATTTGACTTTTCACCTGGGCTTCGAACCGTAATTGTTTTCGTTCCGGTTCAACTGAAAAAAATATATCGGTTCAGTTCCGGTTTTCGTTCCTACAAAAATAACGGATTTTGGTTTTCAGTTAAGTTTGAATGAATAATTTTATTTTATGTATATTCTAGTTCATTCAATTGAATTAAAGATGAATTCTACAAGTAGTTTCGAGCAAAACTGAAACAGAAAAGTAATAGGGAACATCGAACCAGGAAATCGAGAAGTAATGTACATGCAATGATGATAATTAAATGGTTGACGTTAAATTAGAAAATATCTATGAATTAGTTACAGTAACAAAATAACTGAATATATCGAACCGAAATAAACCGATATTTTTTCGATTCCTGCTATTAGTTTTCCTCTACTCTCCCTATATATATATATTTATTTATATATATCTTGTTCAAATGTTCAATCTTTAATAAATTACATTTATTCATCCACTCAAATTTAAGTACATTCTTTTTAAACTTATAGGGGATGCACTTGATGTTAATACAGTTTTTTTTCAAATATTAATTTATTAATTCTATTTAATTAATGAATAAACATTAACAAAAATAATAGCCTAACACCATATATAAAAAGGAAAATCGCTTGTTGTGTCCCTGCAGCGTAGTGGATAGCGCGTTGGACTTCTAATCCAACGGTCGTGGGCTCTAATCCTTCCTGGGATGGCATAATTTCCGAGAATGTGGTTTCTTTTTACTGTACTATTTTAATGGAATGATTAAATTTAATTAATGAATAAAAATAGTAATAAACAAAAAAAATAACAGTCCACACCATATATAGAAAGGAAAATGTAGAAATACGCTTTCTATTTTGCCTCTTAATATTGTGATTCTGTCATATATGTATATACATATATTAATTGTAATTATTTTATATAAAGTAACTAAAATAAAAATTTTCTTTGTTGACCTAAGTGGGAATTACCTTAAATTTTTTTATATTACTTGTTTTCTGTTCAGTTTCTGTTTTCGTTCTGTCCAAAATAACGGTTTTTAAAGGTTTTCCGTTCAATTCCAGTTCGAAGCCTTGCTTTTCACCATGAAAAAGCTGAAAACCTTTATTTAATTACCCTGGTGGCAGTACTTTCCATAAAAATCAATTTTGTATTTTATTTTCCCCATCATATATATATACACTGCTGGCCACCGTAAATGCAACACCAAGAAAGACAAGAGATAGCACAACAAAATTTATTTTGTAGATAACATGTTGACTAAGTATCAAATGATTAAATTTATAGACTTCTATGAAGTGTGGTTCCTGGCAGAATCAGTAGCCATATTAACCTCCATTGTTGGAGATCACCGCTGCCACACGCCTCGGCATTGATTCAAAGAGACTTTGGATGTGTTCTTGGGGTACAGCAGACCAAGCAGCTTCCACACGTTGCCAAAATTGATCTGGTGTGGCAGCTGGGAGTGTAATCTGGGTCAATCGTTGAGCAACTATGGACCACATGTTTTCTATCGGTGAAAGATCCGGAGAACGAGCCGGCCAGGAAAGCAATTCAATCTGGTGATTGACGAAGAATCTTTGGACAATGCGTGCCACGGGTGGTCACGCATTATCCTGTTGAAATATGGCTGTGGCCAAGCCCTCAAGGTAAGGAAGGAGAACTGGCTCCAACACCTCGGAGATGTAGCGCTGGATGTTTAAAGTACCGGCAATGCGTACTAGAGAGTGCGAAAGTGATATCCAGTACCACTCTATACCATAATACCCGGTGCAGGATTAGTGTGCGGTGCATAACGCAGCTGTTCAGCATCCTCTCTCCACGGTATCTTCAGACTCGAATCCGACCATTGTGGTGTTGCAGACAGATGCGTGACTCGTCAGTAAAGACAACTTCTTTCCATTCTGCCGCCCACATCCTTCTTTCGTCGCACCATTGGCGGCGGAGACGTCTGTGGTTCTGCGTCAAGGGTAGACCAAGCAATGAACGTTTTGCGGAGAGAGAACTCTGCTGTAAACGGCGTCGAATGGTACGCGCAGACACTGAATGATGCGTTACAATGTGCTGTGCTATGGTTCGTGATGTGACTGAGCGATCCGTCACTGCCATGCCCACAATTTGCCTGTCCTCACGTGAAGTGGTGCACTGAGGTGGATGCGATCGACCACGTCGGTCCGTCGTACCCTCCTGCATTCAACGGTCACATATCCGCATTGCAGTTGCTTGGTTTCGTCCAACACGACTACCGATTTCCCTGAAAGAGAATCCACAATCTCGGTAGGCCACTATCCTTCTTCTGTCGAACTCGGATACTTGATCAAAAGCTGGTCGCTGTTTTCTACGAGACCTAACTGATCGTTTTTTGAAAAAACACTCAAGAAAAACACAATTGCCGAACTTGAAATCGTCGAAATCTCTAAGCCTTAAATAGCGCTTTGAGGTGGCGCCACAGGCGTGCGTGATGTGTGTCTGCGCTGAAATTCTAATCATTTGCATATCTCACTTCCCCTAATGCATGTTGTAAATTTCATGTTATTTGCGTGCTTCCTTCAGGGTGTTGCATTTACGGTGCCCCCCCCCCCCAGCAGTGTGTAGTTTAGAAACTTCAATTATAATTCATGTTTTAATTTTTTTAATCTAGAGTAATAATATTTCTAAGAAAATATTAACTTTAATTCGTAGATATGGGGCACATTTTCAGGACTTATTTGCATTTAGACTCGAAAATTAATATATTGTGAAAATCGCTTAACACGAAACTGAGGGGGCTGAAATATTTTTTCGTGTTAAAAGATATTGCAAAAAAAAACAACAACCATACATTCAACAAAATTAAGTTTATAGAGTACATTTTATTTACATGTATATATGCACGCATTCAGTAAAAATCAATGAAACGAAAACATTCACTTAAACTTCAAGACATTTAATACAAAATTTTCAAGTTCATTGGAGAACAAACATTTATTGAGTTTTTGGAAAATAATCTGGTATTTCTCTTTGCGTTGTGTCTTTTTTCAACATCAAATTGTTCGACGTCGTTCATTTTGTTATTCATTTCATTTTTAGAATATGTGTAAATAACTACGCATACTTTTCACGATGTTCCTCATTTCGTATGACGTGGGAACAGGAGTCGTTTTCAATTTTCGTCGTTGGAATCAAATTTGTTGAGCTTTCAACAGACTCTAAAATACATTTGTCTGCTATTGAGGCTGCATATACATTATCATCATCTACAGCAGGGGTGGGCAGACTTTTCCAGGGTGCGGGCTACTTCTAATTTGTTCAAGAAGTTGCGGTCCACCCAGTGTCAGGGGTGCACACAAGGGCGGGGGAGGGGTCTATGGGTCCGGACCCTCCCTCATAACCCTTCATTTTTTTCCGATTCATTATAGTCCCATGTAAAACGAAAGTAAAATGCAATTAAGTATATGATATTAGTATTTTTTTATTTATTAATGTTAATTATTCATTCAGTAATTTATTTTTTGTTGTTTTTTGTTCCCGACAATCGAGAAAATCAAAAAAAAAAAAATATGCTTGGCTGCGTATTGGGGTATGATACGAGAATGGTAGGCCTTCAATCCTCGACCCCCTTCCTTTAAAAATTCTTGTGTACGCTACTGCCCAATGTCGTAGGTGTGGTGAGGTGTGAGGAAAAGGTTATTATTATAACTTAATACATAAGTACGGAATATGTACTTAACTACAGAACTAAAAAAGAAACACTTTTAAAACCACGTTTAAAGCAAAACACAAGCTTAATAATGATAGCCTCAAATGTAATAATATCAAATGATACATTTATTATGAAAAAATTCAAAATACACTAAAAAAGTAAAATATTTTTATCCAAAGTTAATTTTTGTTGTTATAGTCAGTAAAAGGCTTAGTCTGCGTACTGTCAGCCAATCTTGAATTTTCCGTACATAATTACTAACTGGTAAAATTTTTAGGTGGTCACCCCAAAATGTCTTGGCGGTCCACCGGTCGATCGCGATCGACGTAATGCCCACCCGGATCTACAGCAGCGAATTCTTCCTATTATACTGTAGGACAGTCCAATAAAACAGAAACTTTCTCAACCATCTCATTAAGTATAGAGTGTCGGCTCAGTTTCAATACCCTCCTTCTCTAGAAGGGAAATCTTTTCCTGTTAAACGATTTTTGTTTCGTGTTAAGAGAAACAAAATGCATTAGAATACATAGTTGTCTGTCAAAACCGTTGTATTATTTCGTGTTAACTGATATTTCGGCTTAAGCGTTTTCACGTTAAATGTATTTTACTGTATTAGAAATGCAGTTTTATTTCAGCAAACGTAACTACTGTGTAAATCCACTAATTTAGGATGCAATACTTTAAAAATCTGTTTTTGATACTTATTTCATTCATAAAATCTTCCCAGAACTTTTTTTTCGAGATAGTTTTTTCACTTCCGTAAGCAATAACAGTTGCATAAGATGTATTCTAGTGCAGAGTTTTATTCTGCTAATAACCTTAATTGCAACAGCATTTGTATGCACTAGATAACCCATTACTGTCGTCTAGAATGTTTTTTTCACATTTTAGGAACTAATGATTATAACACTTCCACATGTCTGTTGTGAAATCAGCTTGGAAAAGTAATATTTGAGATCCGTTTTCATATTGCACAAGGGTACGAAATCTTTTTAAGTATCCAGATGTAGACGAGACTCCATCCGCAAAAATATTTATGGAAGAATTTCAAGACAAATTATTTAAAAAAAACTAACTGGGAAATCAATCGAAAGCACAATCTTGACTTATTGTAATCGTTTACAATGAACGTTAAGACAAAATTGAAGTTATTATTGAGAAAGTTTTAATAGCTTTTCCTAGTGAGAGGGAGTTTCAGTGAGTTTGCCAATCTCAAAAAAGAAAAAAAAAGGGGGGGGGGACTAGACACTTACTAACAAAGGAGATTTTGGGTTAAACCTGACTAGATTGTGTGTGTGGAATTAAATGTTGAAAATTTGTTATTGAAACACCAGATTCATCCCTCTCATTAAAAATATTTGTTTGTTGTTCAGTTATTTTATGTAATAATTATTTTACGTATTAATTTAATCTTAATTTAGTTCATTAACATGTGCTTCTTAAGTTTTAAATGCTATACTTCACTACAGTTAGAAATTTAATTCTTATCAAGTAAGTAATAGTACCAGCTGTAAAATAGACATTTAAGTTGATAAATATGCAAAACTTCAGTATTAGGTAAGCAGGGTCTACCCGAAACCGAAAAACATGGCAAGGGGTCTATGAGACAAACAATTTTGGGAACCTCTGCTGTAGACTAATAATAAGCCTTGAGTTCGTTAAACGCCACATGTTTCCTTATTCCTATACAGCCGGGATGGGCATTAAGTCGATCGCAATCGACCAGTGAACCGCCATGACATTTTGGGGTGACCTCCTTTACTAAGACAGGTTTACTAAAAGAAACCTTTTGTAGAACACTGATGCCAGTTAGTTTTAGAATCATCTTTTCATAATCGATGAGACTGTGTTTGCTTAAGCAAATGATTCAATAAATGTCTAGACAACACATGCACCTTAATTGGAAGCAAATGATGACCCTTAGCACGTTCACTGCTACTGCAGGGGAAAAATTCCCAACTCGCCGACTGAAGGGGAGAAGAAATGTTGATGTTCAGCTCTTCCCGCGCTCTCACGGGATTGGGTTC